GTGAATTGTTTTGGTTTGTTTTTAAAATACCTTTAACATAGGCTCTTCAAGGGAAAGAAAGGAAGAAGTGCTGGGGAATAATATTGGCCAAATTATATTGTGTGCTTGTATGAATATGTAACAACAAATCCCACCATCATGTATAACTATAATGCACCAATAAAAAATAAAATATGCCCTCCAGCAGAAAATCTAGTATACAAAATGAAAATTTAGGTAAAATGTTCGGTACTTTATAGGAGGGCTTTCATATGGGCTGTTTAAACAGAAACTCTCTGCTTATATAAGTGTATATATAGATCAGTATTTGGCTGGCAGACTTAAAGCTGGTGTGTCTGTTTCACTGCCTGCTGCTGGCCAAGGACCTGAAGATAGGTTAATTTTTCAGCATTGTCTGAAGTTACACAGGCCCCATTGCTGTACTTGCCACTTTAAAAGTATATTATTTGGGGGCTGGGGTTGTGGCTCAGTGGCAGAGTACTCACCTACCATGTGTGAGGCACTGGGTTTGATCCTCAGCACCACATAAATGAATGAATGAATGAATGAATGAATGTGTTGTATCCATCAAAAACTAAAAAAAAAATTTTTTTAAAGAGTACTACTTATGAAGAAAAAAATACATATGCAGTTATTTCTACTTTGTTTATTTTATTCCTCAAACTAATAGTCTATAAAATATTCTCCAAAAATATATTGTAATTTAGAGACTTATGTTTCTTGAATAGTTTGCCCTTAAAAATAATTTTTAATAACCCAATCAGTAAATAGGCAAAGGAACAGAACAGACACTTCCACAGAAGAAATACGAATGGTCAAAATATATATGAAAAATGTTCAGCATCACTAGAAATTAGAGACATGCAAACTAAAAGTGTACTGAGATTTCATCTCACTCCAGTCAGAATGGCAATTATCAAGAATACAAGTAACAATAAATGTTGGTGAGGATGTGGGGAGAAAAGTACCCTCATACATTGTCAGTGGGACTGCAAATCGGTGCAGCCACCATGGAAAGCAGTATGTAGATTCCTTAGAAAACTTGAAATGGAACCACCATTTGACCCAGCTATCCTATTCCTTGGTCTATACCCACAGGACTTAAAATCAGTATACTACAGTGATGCAGTCACATCCATGTTTGTCCTTCAATGGATGAATGGATAAAGAAAATGTGGTATATATATATACACACAGTAGAATATTACTCAGCCATAAAGAAGAATTAAATTATGGCATTTGCCAGTAAATAGATGGAACTGGAGAATATCATGCTAAGTGAAATAAGCCAGTCTCAAAAAACTAAAGTCCAAATTTCTCTCTGATTTGTGGATGCTAACCCAAAACAAGGGAGGTTGGGGAGGGGAATAATAAGAAATAGATTGGTCTAGACAAAGGGTAACAAAGGGAAGGGAAGGGAAGGGAAGGGAAGGGGAGGTGAATAGGAAAGACAGTAGAATTAATTGGAGATAACTTTCCTAGCCTTGTATTTTATACACAACCAGGGTAACTCCTCATAAGAGTGGGAACCTAATAGAACAAGTTATACTTTATGTATGTATATTCTGCCAAAATACATTCTACTGTCATGTATAACTAAAAATAAAAATAATAATTTTAAGTGTCTATCAGTTTTAAAGGCTAGGCATCCTGAATTTTAACTTTTTTTTTTTTTAATGTTGCAATTGCATAGTAGAATAAAGGGAGAAGGTTCACGCTTATTATTTTTGTTTTGGAGGTACTGGGGATTGAACCCAGGGTCTCAAGTGTGCTAGGAAGTGCTGTACTACAGAGCTACACCCCTAGCCCAGGATGGACTTTTTAGTATCTTTAAACATAGTTCAACTTGGCTGTGGCAAAGTAGCTTCCAACCAGCAACAATGACTGAGAAAAGTTTTTTCCTATATTTAGTGAAGGAAGAATGTATTATGAGCTTATACTATTAATTGACTGGTTACTGAATGAGATAACCCATTGAGTTTTGTATGTATGGATAATGAAGGATTTTAATAGAATGTAAGGGATTGTCTATACATGGGACACATTTCTGTTTTTGATGAGCAAGCAGGAAGTGCCTGTTAGGAAATAATATGACATTTTCTAAACGATTCAGGAGTCTAAGACAAGAGTTTGAGGCCAGCCTCAGCAAATAAGCAAGGCCCTAAGCAACTTAATGAGACTCTGTCTCAAAGAATAAAAAGGTCTGGGAATGTAGCTCACATTCCCAGAGTCCCTGGGTTCAATCCCCAATACTGGGTTGGGAGGAGACAGAAAAGAAAATAATAGGACAGTTTTTCTTCTCTTTAATCTTCTTAAAAGCTAGGTCTTTATATCCTGCTATGGTTAAGAGAACCTGCCCAAAAAGTATTTGTTGAATGAGGGGATAGACTTGATATTCTCTGCAGGAAAAAGACCCATGACGTTATGTGATATCCTCAGTGTGCAGGCTGCTATTGGGAGTACAAAGGAGGGCGCTTAACCAAACTTAGGAGTCAAAGAAAGAAAGCTTCCTAGAGACCTGAAGGATAAGCTTGGGTTTTCTCAAGTGAGGGGAAGGGAAGAATATTCTAAAGAGAAGTGACACCCTATGTGAAGATTTAGAGTTGGGAGTGAGTGATGCTTCTCTGCTGCACTGGAAGAAGTTGCTGGAAACTAAATGTGTAGAGCTTAACATTGCAGGTGGGGGGCTGGATATGATAGAGGTGGGCAGGAGAGGTAAACGGGACTTTGTAAGAAGTGTTGACTTTTATGTCTTGTCTTTTACCTGCAAGAGCCGTGGGAAGACCCTGAAGGGTTTTTCTCACATCTTATGAAAATTCCAAACATAGAAAGTAGAAGGAATTTTATAATTAATCTTCATGAATCCCAACTTAGATTCTGCCATTAACATTTAACTACATTTGCTTTATCAGAGGTGTCCTAACTGATTTATTTCAAAATATGTTGTAAATATCAGGAGGTTTCCCTCTAAATACTTCTGCGTACATATCATTAACCAGAATTCCTGAACAATCTTAAGAGAGAATGGCCTGATAAGATTGCTTTGGGAAGACCTCTTACCTATAGGACAGGAAATGAAGTGTGGCATACACTTGATGCTTATTTGTTTTTGTTTGGTTTGTTTCTGGTTTTGGTACTGGGGATTGAACCTGGGGCCTCACACATGTCAGGCAAACAGTCTACCACTGAACTTATACTTCTAGCTCTCCCCACTTCCCCTTTTTGAGACACAGTTTTGCTAAGTTGTCCAGCCAGGCCTCAAACTTGAAATCCTGCCTCAGCCTCCTGAGTAGATGGGATTACAGGTGTGTACCACTGTGCCAGGCTAATGCTTACTTTTGAGTGATATATTTACAGAGTGAGAAGACAACTGGGAGGTGGCCAGGAGTTAATAAGCTTTTTGCTTAAAGACAACAAAGAAGACAAATAATAAATAATATCATTGAAAGCTGTATATAATAGTAGAACAAGATATCTTTGCAGATATTTCAGATAAAAAAAACCCCAAGATTTTGAAGAATCTTTGTCTTCATTGGTCTTTTCGATTTTTCATGAAATAGTTCAATTCTTAGGTGTACACATTTGCCATCAAGACAATCATGTCAGAGTGCATTTAGGTATAAAGTGAAAGTCGTAAAAATATCATTATAATTGAGGCATAAGACTTATGAAAAGAAGAAATGGGCTTAAAATATCTGTAAAATATGAGTGTAGATTTCATCTAATTTCCAGGTATTATTAGAGTTGACAGATGATAGATGAGAGAAAAGTAGTTCTTAAAAATTTTGCTCTCATATTTTGTTTTATTAAAGCAAAGTGCTTCTTCAAACATTTTGAGAAACTTTCTCTTTGCCAAGCACTGGTTAGGTTGTTAGAAAATTCTTGGGATTAGGGAGTCAAGGGAATTGCATTCCCAAGGAAGTTGACTTGGCTTTGGGGAGGCTTGAATTCTTACCATTCTACCAATCTTTGTGGCCATGGCCTCAATTTCCTCATCTATAAGAAGATCAGATTTTGCTCAAGTCTCTGATAACCCCAGATGCTGTGTTTATGAAATCTTTATTCTCAATGTGATCACTTCTGATTTTTTAAACAGAAATGAATTTTGAAATCATAAGGTGGGGGAAAAGTCTCAAGCTAATGTTTAACATATTACATTTATTTGACCACATATTCTTTTATTTTTCAAATTTTATTTTGTAAAGTTTATTTTAAAAAAAGAATTTATAAGGTGCTAAATACTAAGTATAACTGTCATCATTTAAAATTCCAGAAGAGAGAATTTCAGAATGGTATTTTCAGAGAGAATCAAGAGAAAAGGAATATCCACCTATCACTTAGTTATTGCTGGCTTGTACTGACATACTACCTGACAACTGAGTAGGCTGAAGCAGAAGGATCATAAGTTCCAGGACAGACTCGATGATGTAGGGAAACCCTGTCTCAAAATTAAAAGGGCCAGGCATGGTGGCACATGCTGTAATCTTAGCAGCTTGGGAGGCTGAGTAGGAGGATTGTGATTTTAAAGCTAGCCTCAGCAACTTAGCGAGGCACTTAGCAACAACTCAGTGAGACCCTGTCTCTAAATAAAATATAAAAAAAGACTAGATATAGTTCAGTGGTTAAGAACCCCAGGGTTCAATCCTCAGTACAGAAAAAGTAAAATAAAATAAAAATAAAAAGGCTGGGGTGTAGCTCAGTAGTAGAATACTTGCCTAGTATGTGAAGCTGTGGTGTTCTATATTGTCTCCCCATCCCCTGAAAAATTACTTACAGAAGATGTCGTTTGTTACAGGATATAACAAGACTTAACAAGAGCAGCAGCAATACTGGGAGAGAGAATCCTGGTGGTGATGGAGTTTGTATCTTTGATTCTGTAGCTACCCAGTTTTCGTCTATCAGATTACCTTTTTGGTTGAAGCTAGTTCCAGCTGGGCTTTTCACATGGCACCAGAAAGCATCTTTAAATAATCCATGTCTTTTTTTTAATATGTATTTAGGTGAAGATGGAGCTGGAAAAACAAGCTTAATAAGAAAAATTCAAGGAATAGAGGAGTACAAGAAAGGAAGAGGATTGGAATATTTGTACTTAAATGTACATGATGAAGACAGGGATGGTGAGAGTCAATTTATTTATTTTAAAATTTTTTTTAGTTGTTGATATACCTTTATTTATACATGGTGCTGAGAATCAAACCCAGTGCCTCACACATGCCAGGCAAGTGCACTACTGCTGAACTACAGCCCCAGCCCAATTTATTTCTTAATATACGTTTACTGAAGTCTGTTCTGAGGCATTTTGTTGCTCACCCTAGCCCTTGACTTTTCTTAGTGTATCATTTTTTACTAGATTCTGCGATATCTTGCGGGTCAGTTATGTACTTATGTTTATGCATACTTTATTGATCTGGGATTGGGGTTCACATAGTGATACTTTAAAGCCTCTTAGGGTATTATGGGGGTCATGTAATGATATTTTTAAATAGCTTAGGGTTTTCTGATATATAGATGTTAGCCTTCTGGCTGTCCATGAAGAATTTTAAGTTCTCAGTTTATCTTCCCTCAGGTAGTGATTGTTTTGCTGATTCCCTTTTCACTTTTCCCCATTTTCTAATAATAACATAATCTATTCTCTAGGTTTTTTCATCTGGTCAATCTTTTTTTTCTTATATCAATCATTAGCCTTCTCATTTTTGTATATGATATCTTTAGTATTCATGGCTTTATCTGCTCTTAGTAAAAATATTAACATGTTGGGCTGGTTATATTGCTCACCAGCCCACATGGTAGAGCCCTTTGCTGAGTGTCAGACCCTGGGTTCAATCCCCAGCACCACATATGTATATACATACATAAATAAAACACATTATGTACTCTCTTTTTTTTTTTAATTTCTTTTTTTTTTAAGAGAGAGGGAGGTGGGGGGGAGGGAGAGAGAGAGAGAGAAAATTTTTTAATATTTATTTTTTAGTTATCGGCGGACACGACATCTTTGTTTGTATGTGGTGCTGAGGATCAAACCCGGGCTGCACGCATGCCAGGCAAGCGTGCTACTGCTTGAGGCACATCCCAGCCCACATTATGTACTCTCTTGGCTTTGGGTTAAGATTCATGAAGTAGAGGTTGCTTTGGTGCTCTGGTGGGCCATTAAATCATTTTAGGCCTTTACTAAATTTGTAGATGTGACCTAAATATTATGTTGAATTTTATCAAAGCTAGTTGATATCTCCTGCGGAGATGCCCTAAAATATCAAGTAGTATTGTTAGTTAGATGAAGTGATTTAATACTGTTGCCTTGGTAACTTTCTTTTGTCTGTTGTAGATCAAACAAGATGTAATGTATGGATCTTAGATGGAGACCTTTATCACAAAGGGCTCCTTAAATTTTCACTGGATGCCATGTCTCTGAAGGACACTCTAGTTATGTTTGTCGTTGATATGTCAAAGCCTTGGACTGCTTTGGATTCTTTACAGAAGTGGGCAAGTGTTGTTAGAGAACATGTTGACAAATTGAAAATCCCTCCTGAAGAGATGAAAGAAATGGAACAAAAGCGTGAGTAATCTAGAAATATAGGTTTCATATACCAAATATGTTAATTAAAATGTTATATTATGAATGAGGTTTAATGAAGGAAACAAAATTGACTACTGTTTTTGAAATTTAATTTGGGTGACATGCTAGGTTTTAATGTAGTTTTAAATTGGAGACATACATGATGGTAAACTTTGACTAAGGTGCCTTTTCTTCTTGCCAAAAGATTTGTGAGTGTTCACTTTGAGAAGTAATTTTTTAGGGGGAGAAATAGGAATCTTTCTTCAGCTGCTCATTTCCAGAAGTTTTATTTCTTGATAGTAATCTCACCAACTTTGTTCAAATGAAATATGCTTGAAAAGATGTTAATGACATAAATAAAAAGATGTTAAGATGATTGAATTATTTATAAAGTACATAATACATTTTGCACATGCTCTTATGAATTGGAAATTTTCATAGAGATTACGAAAATGAAACAGGATTATTTCTAACAGGTTGTAAACCTGAGAGTTCTTCAATTGCCAGTGTTGAACTTTGCCTAAGGAAATATGTAGATGTAGATGAAATTGTTTATTGCCATTAGCCAGTGATAACTTTTAGGGGTAAATTTAAATGTAAGGAAAGAAACTTAAAGGGAATTTTTGTCAAGTCATTGAAAAGGATGTCTAATGCTTTTAATCTGTACTTTTTCTCCCCTGTTGACCTTGGCCTTTGGCATTACCACCCCACCCCCACCCCTGAATCTAATTTATACTGAGCTATAAATTAGATAGTAGTGCTCAGCCTGTGGCCCCTGAACCAACAGCATCAATATCAGTATAGCTGGGAACCTGAAAAAATTTTTTACCTCAGAGTACTGAACGAGAAACTCTTGAAGGTGGATCCAGTGATCTGTGATTTAACAAGCTCTTTGGGTGATTCTAGTACATGATAAAATTTGAGAGTAACTGTTAGGTTTCAACCTCTGATCTTTATTAAAGATAATAGCCACAAGAGCTGCTAGTGGTATGTAACATGACCCTGTGTTCCTGGGGACTCCTACTCAGCTGTTCAGGATTCCCTATTCCTTAATCTCATGTAATTTCAGAAGTTTTCCTCCATAGGAGTCACTATTCATAATCCAAAAAGAATTTAGCTCATAGTTACTTAAAAAAATAACTTTTTCTCTAATTATGTGATATATTTACATGTATTAAATTTCACAAAATATGCCTTAGTATATTTTTTCTGATATTCTTTTTATTTCTAAGCTAAAGTTTTTGATTTTCTTTATTATCTCTCGCTTAATGTTATTTTCTTACAGCAGTAAGTATTTAAAAACTTGACATTTTATGGGTCTGCACAGTATTTCCTCACATTCTGTTTTTAATTCTATGTAGTGGATAAATTTCTTTCCAGATATGTTGTTTTGCTTTTAAACATGAAAAACAATGTTAAATGGAAATTCCTGTGTTTGTACTTCCCTGATTGTGTCCTTGAGAATTCTTAGAAAGGTAATTACTGAGTCAAGCATACATTATTAAGACTTTCAACATATTCATTTTTTTTTAATTTACTTTTTTTTAAATGATAATTTTGACAGTCTTGCAAATGATTTCAAAAAGTTTATCTGCATTGGTAATAGCTCATTAATTTTTATTAGGTTTAAAGAACTTGGTACAAGATTGAGCTTATGTAAAAGGAAACCTGAATAAAGGGCTTAGAAAAAGAAATAAAGAAAAGTAATATTAGAAAAAGTTATCTAGCAGCTGGGCACTCATGCCTGTAATCCCAGCCTCTTGGGAGGCTGAGACAGGAGGATCTAGAGTCCAAAGCCAGCCTCAGCAACAGCAAGGTGCTAAGCAATTCATTGAGATACTGTCTCTAAATAAAACACAAGATAGAGCTGGAGATGTGGCTCAGTGGCCAAGTGCCCCTGAGTTCAATTCCTGCTACCACAAAAAGAAAAGTTATCTGGCAATGTGGGTTTTTTTTAATTTAAATTTTTATTTTATTGCAATACCAGGGATTGAATCCAGGGTGCTCTATTACTGAGCTACATCTCCAGTCCTTTTCATTTTTTATTTTGAGACACGGTCTCACCGTTACCAAGGCTGGCCTTGAACTTGTGATCCTCTTGCCTCAGCCTCAAGTTGCTTGGATTACAGATGTGCATCACTGTTCAACTAATACTGTGTTTTAAATTGTAGGATGTTTTTTCTCCCACATTTATTTATTTTTTATTCTGTAGTACTCTTCTTTTCAGAGAAGGTAAAGAGTCAAAGGTATAGTATAACTTGTCCAAAGTCTTTTTTCACAGACTAAATCAGACCTACATAGAGCTCTACTCTTTGGAATTATCAGTGCAGTATTGTGGCTCAAAATTATTACTGTGGTTCCAATGCCTGCATACTCTTTTATGAAACAGATTTTTTTTTTTTAATTTTGATACTGAGGATTAAATCCAGGGGCACTTCGCCAGATGAAGGTGCAGAGTCATGAACTATACCCCTAGCCTTTTTTATTTTTATTTCTTTGAGACAGGGTATTGCTGAGTTCCCCAGGCTGGCCTTGAACTTGCAATCCTTCTGCCTTAGCCCCCCTAGTCTCTAAGATTACAGGCATGCGCCACCATGCTGGGCCCAGAATAGATTTCTCAAACAATTTTTTGTTTTTTCTCTTACATAAAAATTAAGTATAAACTCGAGTAAACTATATATTTAAACTATGGAAGAAATAACTATGTTTGCTTTTATTTTCAGTGATTAGAGACTTCCAAGAATATGTAGAGCCAGGAGAAGACTTCCCAGCCTCTCCTCAGAGAAGAAACACTGCATTGCAGGAAGACAAAGACGACAGTGTAGTTTTACCTCTGGGTGCAGATACACTTACACATAACTTGGGCATTCCAGTCCTTGTAGTTTGCACAAAGGTTAGTTTGCTTCTTACAGATTTTACTACTGATACTCACCAAACAATGAACAACTACTTTCTTTTCCATGTTGTTTTGGAGTTCCGTTAGTTTTTGTAGATAATTTTTTTTATCACATAGAAATAATAGTTTTAAAATATTTGATGGTGCTTAAATGTTTGTTAATTGTGACTTTAAAAAAAATTTATTTCATTGTCTTCCTAGATATTGCACTTATAAAAATGTTGCCCTAGAGTTAAGTTGCTTGTGTCTATAGAAGATGAGGTGTAGCTTTCAGGGCCATTGCAAAAAATGGGCAGAGGTAAAAGTAAATCTTTCAGTTCTAATCCCCACACACCAGAAAATTCTGGTGTAGCAGATGACAGTGTGAAGGGAAGGAAGGTACAGAGTCATTATGCTGCTTCAGTGTTATGCATTTTTCCTTTTCTTGGCTACAGCTTCTGTGATCATGATCATAATTGTTTTAAAGAAAGTGTTACTTAAGATACTTAGTGATTGAATTTCATTTTCATAATTTCAATTAAACTTCATTGTACAGTCAGTATAGTATACATAATTACAGGTGAAATGATAGTTTATTAATTTTGAAAATTTTTTTAAACATTACATTTTGATATATTAATATACTTAAAATGGACTTATAAACATCTTGAAGCACCTATTACGATATAAAGTTGGTAGGCAATTATCTAGGGCTTCTTACTTATTAAAAAAAAGGTGATTGGGGCTGGGATTGTGGTTCAGTGGTAGAGCGCTCACCCAGCACATGTGAGGCCCTGGGTTCGATCCTCAGCACCACATAAAAATAAAATAAAGATATTGTGACCATCTACAACTAAAAAATAAATATTAAAAAGGTGATGATAGAGCCAGGCACAGTGGCACCTGCCTATAATCCCAGTAACTCAGTGGTCTGTTTTTGTATTGTTTAGCAAACAAGCTATTTGTTGGCACATTTCCCTGTTCTATGCCTCAACTTTTCTCATAAAAAGCAGTCTTATTTTCCAAAGAAAAATGTTAAGTTTAAAGGGTCCTGAATCATTATTAAAAGAGCCATAGAATGATTCTTAAAATTTTCATTCCTGAAGATAGCATCTACTGTGTTTTATAAAATCTTCAAACACCATTAGATATACTTAAGTTTATGAGCTTTTAAATGTGTAAGGGGACCAGAGAATGTGTGTGGAAGTGTGTGGTTCAGCTTCTTCCATTTAAAAGACTGGAAATGGATATTCAGGGAGACGATGTTTCTTGTTTTAAGTCCACATGCTCTGATTCAGTTAACTTTTTGTTTTTGTTGAACTCGGGGCCTCATGCATGCTAAAGAAGTGTTCTACAACTGCTACAGTTAAAGTCTCTTTATTAAAAACTGCCATGTTTCAGCAAAAGTGTCATTAAGTCAACAGATTAAAGTATCTTTAATTATTTGAAATCACTCTCAATAGCCTAACAAGTGCTAGTCAATTAGACAAGGAGCCGGGTGTTTTGGTAGACACCTGTAATCACAGCAACCTGGGACAGTAAGGCAGGAGGATGCAAGTTTGAAGCCACTTTTGGTAACTTAGCAAAACCTAGTCTCAAAATTAAAAATAAAAAGAGCTGGGGGGAATAGCTTAGAGGTAGAGCAACCTGGGTTCAAACCCCAGTATCTTTAAAAAAAAAAAAAAAAAACCTGATGCAAGAAGATTCTGTCCTATAATGTTTATATGTATAGCAAAGAAGTTACATATAAAATTTGAACCCAAACTAATATTAGATATAGTGAACATTATTAAAAGTTTTTAAACTTCATACCTTTCAGAAGGGTTTGGAAAAAATATTTGAATTCAGAATTGTTTCACTAATTGTACAGGTAGCATTTCGAAAATAAACTGAAATTCCCTTTGTTATTGGTGAGATTGTAGTGAGCATGAATAAAAACATCAGAAAAGAAATGGAAATCAGTTGGGAATTATAGGATGAAAGAGGAACTGGTGAGAGGTGAAGACTCCCTGGTTGTACTGATGTGTTTTAAAGAACTGGATTAGATTTTAGATTAAAAAATTATTATAGAATTCAAAGTCGAGTTAGCAAGTATGACTGATATTGGACCAGGTCCGAGTTTCTAGAGAGGGGGACCTCAACTGAAGGCTGAGTGGGGTTCTTGACAAATGTGGCAGAAATAAGTTAAAGGCACATTCAAGGGAGAATGTCAGCCATCTTCAGAGTAAGAGACACTTTTGGGTTCTCAGGCTCTTTTTTAAAAGGAAAATGGTAGAGAGTGGGCATGGGAAGGTGTATGGGGATATGACACCAGTCTGATGATCACAAGCTGATTTATGGTGGTTTGGCATTCTCAGAATCCTTAAGCTAACAAGGTTTTCATTATCTGATCAGTTGGAAAGTACCCTATATTATAGGTTTCTTGAAATAGTATATCTCTCTTTGCTTTATTTATTACATAGAGTAATTAATAGTACAGTTTTCATAAGTGAAATTTGGGAGAGAAATTGGCTTGGGGAGGAAAGGTATGTGGGACTTAAGCTTTTAGATTAAAGTTGCATTCTTCTTGTCTTTTCTTTTGTCTCTTTCTTCTGTATTTTTTCTTTCTTATCCTATTTCATGACCACTTAGTATAAGCTCAGCTTGTTATTCTTCATTCTTTCATGTTCCAGAACTTTCTCTTTGGTGTTCTGATCAGATGCAACATAACATAGAAGTCAGTGCTTTTTAAAGAAAGTTACTAAAACTCCAGCTAAAAGTATTAACTTATATTCTCGTGTTTATATTGTTCAGTCACAGTAGCAGAGTGGTAGGTTTGTGATGTTCCTCATCCAGAATTGAACTGTTTAAAGTATTACATTTAATTTTGATTAAATAATTTTAACTCAACAGTGTGATGCCATTAGTGTATTGGAGAAAGAACATGACTACAGAGATGAACATTTCGATTTTATCCAGTCACACATCCGGAAGTTTTGTTTACAGTGTATCCTTTTAATAACATTTATGGATGCAGTGTACCCTGTCTATTTTGTTTTTTAAAATAAAGGAAATTGATGTGCTTTAGAAATTCTGTAAATGTTATTTTTCTTGTATGTGGTTGGAAATTTAATTTTAGTTCCCAAGTCATTTATATGTGAATATTTTAGGTATAAAAACAAGTGTTAATATGTAAGTTTGATATGCTACTTTTAAAATACTATTCTTAAGAAAAATCATTAATTATGGAAAATTCTAATGCAAAGGCATTGTGTACATATCTGATTAAAAACTATTTGCTTATTGGGGATGGGTGGTGTGAGGCAAGATCAATCTTCAAGTTTGTGTATTTTCTTTTTTAGTTTGTTTAATATGTTATCTTCTCCGTAAAGAGTCTAAATTATGGGCTTCAAAATATGGCTATAGGTTTAGCTAAGACCTATTGGATTGGAATAGTACAAAATGTAAATGGAGAATCTGTACTTTTTAAAAGTGTTGTATTTATGACCACAAGATTGGAAAACCCGTCATAGGCAGCCTTTTTAATCTAGATTGCAGGGATTAAGTGAGCCAGTGAGGAACATTTACTACTAAGAGAAAGAGAAAATAAGAGTTACAGTGAATGTTTTCAAGAGAATTCACAGTTGGAAACTCAGTCACACCTTGAGTACACTGAAGAGAGCTAGCTATTCCCTCCTGCCCCTGTTGGATCAGATATTTACAATTATGTTCCACAGCCAAATCTTTTGAGTGTAAGAGTAATGAAATTATAACATTAGGAATAGTAATAAGCAATGAAATTTTATTAGGGATAGATAATAATAAGCAATACACACATGTTCCTAATGTGTGCAGTTTATAAATCATTTTATTAATGGACAGTTAGTTTAGAAGGCACTTAGAGAAAGCTTAGCTAGATAGATGACTTGACACTGGCAGCTTCTCTTTCCTCTTTCTTCAGATCTTTCTCTCTTCATGGGCCTTTCTTTTTTATGTCACCTAATGGTTGAGTTGCATTGCATTAAATAGCACTTGTCTACATACTATCAAGAAATGGGAGTAATTGAAATAGACACTTAGAGACTTTTGATTATCTTTGAAAAATAGAAAATTTGAGACTAGTCTCTTTAAACACTTTTTAATGCTGTACTTGAAAATGTAAATATAAAAATGTAATCAAGAGGGAAACTGTCCACTAAAATAGACTTTTAGAGCCACTTGATTTTTAAAAGAATACAAAATGTGAGAAGTCACTTCAAGTTAGTGTGGTATATGTTTATCAATGAGTGAAGGTGACTGTTCAAAATCATTTTTATTTAAAAATTTTCAGTTGCAATGCAGATTTGTCAACTATAGAAATTTTGAGGGGTTTTTTTTTTGGTACCTGGGATTGAACCCAGGGTTGCTTAACCGCTGAGCCACATCCCCTGCTCTTTATTATATTTTATTTAGAGACAGGGTCTCCTTGAGTTGCTTAGGGCTTCGCTAAGTTGCTGAACCTGGCGTCAACTTTGATTCTCCTGCCTTAGCATCCTGAGCTGTTGGGATTACAGGTGTGTGCCACTGTGCTTGGCAGAAATCTCAGTTCTTAATATGGGAAAGATCATTAATATAAAGTTCACACAATTAAGCTTCTGCTTAAAGTTTTAATGTTTTTTTTCTAGTAAGTTAAATTAAGCAGTACTACTTTTAGATTCATAAACTTCAGGCTATGTCCTAGAAAATGTGAGTAACCAGTTCAGAAGTTAGACCACTCCCAGCATTTCACGTTTGCTTAAGTCACCATCTCTTTCTAGGGAACACAATGATCAGTGCTAAATTGTGATCCTAAGGGTTAGTTATAGACTTTCTGTTAGCCACTATGAATATATCATTTGTCAATAGTCACATTGCATCTTTTTCTATAGGCTGCTTGGTCTTTTTTTAGATAAAAGGTCAAAGGTAGTCTGGGATTGTAGCTCAGTGGTTGAGCACTTGCCTCGCACATGTGAGGCACTGAGTTCGATCCTCAGCACCACATTAAAAATAAATAAATTAAATAAAGGTATTATGTCTACCTACAACTAAAAAAATTTTTTTATAAAAAAGATCAAAGATAGAATCTGCTTTGATTAATATATCCTTGTGTGTATTGGTATTGTTTGAAGTGTGGGCCATTGTGTAGTCAGTTTTTTTCCCTACTGTGACTAAAAGATCTGACCAGAACAATTGTAGAGGAGTAAAAGTTTATTTGGAGGCTTAACGGTTTCAGAATTCCTAGTCCATCGAAGGCTTTCTGCATTCCTTAGGATCAAGGTGAGGCAGAATATCATGGCAGAAGAGTGTAGCAGAATATCATGGCAGAAGCAGCTCATATGACGATCAGGAAACAGAGCGATCTCCACTTGATAGATGCAAATATATATCCCAAAGCCACACCCGCAATGCCCACCTCTAGCCACACCCTACCATTTCAGTTACCACTCAATCCTTATTGGGATTAATTCACTGAATGGGTTAAGACTCTCACAACCCAATTATTTCTCCTCTGAACCTTCTTGCATTGTCTCACACGTGAGCTTTAGGGGGACACCTCACATCCAAACCATAACAGCCATGAAATCTACTGTTTTCCTTGGGTCATCTTGAAAACTTTTCATTGGTAACAATTGACTCCACCTTTTCTCAATATTCGGTTGTCCGAGTCCTCTTTGAGCTGAGTCTCATGAGCTTTGTTCTGCAAGTCTTAATTCCTAGGATTAGTAAAAACTGTAAGAAATATTTTTTTGAAAAGGCAAAAGAATTATTGAGGGGCTGGGGATGTGGCTCAAGCGGTAGCGCGCTCACCTGGCATGCGTGCGGCCCGGGTTCGATCCTCAGCACCACATACAAACAAAGATGTTGTGTCCGCTGAGAACTAAAAAATAAATATTAAAAAATTAAAAAAAAAAAAAAAAAGAATTATTGACAAAAATATCCCCTCCTTCATGAAGTTTAAGGAAGGTTAAAATCAAAATTCTCTCTTTATGTCCTTTAAATAGTTGTATGCATATTACTAAATTTACCTTTACTTCTTGGCTTAATGAGGCTTCTATCCTTCTAAATTAAATTAATTATGTAAACATTTTATTTAGATTCTAGCCCATTTGTAAGTATTTTATATTGTTTTGTCAGTGCTGGGATTGAACCCAGGCCTTTTGAATGCCAAGTTATATATCCTTGGAATTTATTTATTTCTTTATTTTTAAATATTTATTTTTTAGTTGTATATGGACACAATACCTTTATTTTATTTATTTTTATGTGATGCTGAGGATCGGACCCAGGGCCCCAGATGTGCTAGATGAACACTCTACCCCCGAGCCACAACCCCAGTCCCTGGAATTTATTTTTTTAAACTAACAGGCATATAGATGTAAAGGTTAAGCTGAGAATGCACAGTTTTATGGAAATTATTCATAGAATTTGTCCAAAATTTTCTTTAATGATATTATTCAGATGGTGCAGCACTTATTTACACTTCAGTAAAAGAAAATAAAAATATAGACTTAGTATATAAATACATCGTTCAGAAACTATATGGATTTCCTTATAAGATTCCTGCTATTGTTGTGGAAAAGGATGCAGTATTTATGTAAGTATATTGTTAAATGTGTGCATTATTGCTACTACTTGATGAGCCACCATTTTCAGTTTTGAGATGGGACCAGTAGACCTCTCCATGATGAGTAGGTGAGAATCTGTTCCTCAATTATTTATTTATTTCCTGGCCTTAGTTTTATTGCTGGTTGTTTTGAAAGGCCTTTGCCATTTAGCTGAACTTTCTATTAGTATATCTATATTAGTATATCTACTAATTTTTTAATTGATTATGATACATAGTGACCAAATATGTAATCTGACATACTTTTAGAAAGTATGAATAAAACTGAGAGGTAATAATTATTGCCCTCTCCCCCAGAGAAAAAAGGGGGGGTAAAACTATGTAATAACATTTAAACATAAGGAATTTGGTAATCATTTTAAGTAGAAATTAGTGAAATAAAAATTGAACATTATAATAAAAATTAATTAGTTTTCCATATTGGTCAAATTGACTTCATTAAAATACTCCTTTTACATTATTGTGGATTGAATGAAAAAAAAATGTTATAAATGTTTTGAGAATTTACATATCCATTTTTTTACAGTCCAGCAGGGTGGGATAATGATAAGAAAATAGGAATATTACATGAAAACTTTCAAACATTGAAAGCAGAAGATAATTTTGAAGACATCATAACTAAACCACCTGTCCGAAAGGTAACAATTTTAGTAAACAGTTTCCATATTTCGGCTTTTAAACTGAGAGGTAGGCCATAACTTTAAGGTTTTAGGTAGAAAAGCAAGAATGTCCTGTACAATCAGGGGAGTTTCAAAGTGTAATTTGCGTGTTTCTAATGTACAGTTCATATAAGGATTTGTTTTAGCAAAGTGTGAATCAACTATTCAGTCACTGAATCTTGTTAGCCTTTGGCATATTTATATAAGCAAATATTATTGCTGAATATATTAATATAGTGCTTAGGAAATCAAAGGGTGGCACAGTGAATATGTGGATCTTGAAATAATTTAAATAGCTGGGCGCAGTGGCACATACCTGTAATCCCAGCAGCTACCAACACTGAGACAGGAGAATCTGAGTTAAAAGCCAGTTTCAGCAAAAAGAGGCACTAAACAACTCAGACCCTATCTCTAAATAAGATACAAAAAATAGGACTGGGGATGTGGCTCTGTGGTCGATTGTGCAAGTTCATTCCCTGATACCCACCCCCATAATTTTTTTTTTTTTAAATAGGTAGAATCTGTGAACTTTACAGTCTATAGCTGAGCCAAAAGCCAAGAAAAGGTTACTAGGATAGTTTTCTTAGTTCTATCTATTGAGACAGATCTCGGATCTTTTCCACAGTTACTAGTTACATTAACCTACAAATATCCAAGAGTTTCCAGTTTTCTGTATTTTATTTTTGACTACCATGTCATTCTATAGCTGTTAAATCAGGTAATGTTCTTACATATACATCTTGATTTCATGTTAAACAATGCATGATAGATGTAGGTGTTTCTCAAAAGTATAAAAAATTTATGTTTATATATAGTACTTTTCTCCGACTTCCTTTTGATTTAGACATGTATTTTAGAGGAAAATGATTTTGATTCAGTACATATTAGGATTCTTAAAGGAGGGGAGGGAAAGGTGAAATGCTGGTATATAGATTCTGCCTATTTAAATAATGGGGAATGATACTGGCCAAATTATATTGTTATACATCATGTGTATGTATGCATATTTAGCAACAGATCTCACCATCATGTGTAAGTATAATGCACCAATAAAAAATATGAAAAAAATGTTCTTAAGAATCCAAACATTTGTTGGACATAGTGGCACACGCCTATAATCCCAGTGGCTCGGGAGGCTGAGGCAGTTTAAAGTTTAAAGCCAGATTAAACTGAGATTGCAAGTTTAAAGCCAGCCTTAGCAACTAAATGAGGCCCTAAGCAACTTAACAAAACCTTGTCTCAAAATTTAAAAAAGGGCTGGGGATATGGCTCAGTGGTTAAGCACCCCCGGGTTCAATCCCTAGTACCTCCTCCCCACAAAAAAATCCAAATATTCACAAAGTAGAGCATCTATCTTTTATTTTGGGGTTATTAGTAATAAGAAAAGTGAGCTCAAATGAAAATTCAATTGACACATATTTAAATGGGTTTAGATAGCTATTAAAAGAAATGCATACATCAGAATTAAATAACCCAGCAAAAATGTTTCCCATTCTCTTACCAACAAATTATACTTTTTAAGTTTTCTTTTTATTTTATTAATTCCTCAAATACTTATTGAGCACCAACTCAGGCACTGTTTAGGTACTAACTGGGAAGGAGGAGAATGCAAGCAATAAACTTAACTCACAGGTCGTCCATTGAGTTGGGAATAAGGGTTATGAAGATAAAGCAGTGTGTGCAGGGAATAAGGCGACTGGGCCTTGAGGGATGCTGTTTTAGAGAAGGTCCCCCTTGTAAAAGGGAAGAATGTTGAAGGCAAGAGGAATATGAAAGTACAAATGCTCCCAGGGAAAAATGTGAGAGCAAAATAGACCGCAAAGAGCTGTGAGGTGGACAGACCTGGTGGGAGATGAAAGGCAGAGTTAGGATCTTTTGGAACTTTATCATTAGGTCGTGATAAGGACTTTAGATTTTACTCTGAGTAGGATGCAAAGTGTTAAGAGCGTTTGAGCAGAGGCATGATGTAATCTAATTGAACCCTTTGACTCTTGAGAAGAAAATAGACTGAGCCTGTGTTATACAGCAAGAGTAGAAGCAGGAGACTTTTGCAATTTTATTTCTAATTTCTTTAATTTCTAATGATTCAGCTGATAGAAGAGCATATATATCTATTTCTTTTTTTTTTTTTTTTTAATTTCAAGGAAACCAGAGACAAGTTGCATTTAACCCAACTGGGATATTACTGACCCTTTTAAAACACCCAGCAGTTATTCAACAAATTGTATAAGCATGAATGTGGCTCTAGGGCTGTGCTGTTAAAATACAGTAGTCATTAGTCACATGTAGCTTCCAAATGTAAAGTAAGATCAAAACTTACTTCCTTGCTCATACTAGCCAATTTCAAGTATTTAATAGCCACTAGTGGCTAGTGACTGCTGTATGAAATTTCACAGATATAGAACATATATATCATTACAGATAGTTATTGGTCAGCCCTACTATAAGGGTCACTCGTGTAAATGTAAATATAGTACCCAGAGAATAAGTTATTAATGGTCTTAGCAAAATAAATTAAACTTGCTCATTTATGTATTGCTCATTTCAGTTTGTGCATGAGAAGGAAATTATGGCAGAAGATGATCAAGTATTTCTTATGAAGTTACAGGTATGAAATTGTATCAGAAGCAGACTTAATATAGTTAATGAATAAACTGTTCTTTTATGTATTTTAAAAATAAAGTGATACATGCTGTGAATGTCTAAACTAGGATTCTTTTGTTTTTCAGTCCCTTTTAGCAAAGCAGCCACCAACTGCAGCTGGAAGGCCTGTGGTCAGTATTATAAATTTTGACATAATTATTAAAATTCAGTGCATTATTGTTTCTTTTTTAAATTGTATTCACATCTGATGGGTTTACTTTAATATAATTCTTCTGGTTGTGAAATTTTTAAAAAAATGTTTTTTCTTTATTTTATTTTTATGTGGTGCTGAGGATTGAACCCAGTGCCTCACACGTCCTAGGCGAGCACTCTACCACTGAACTACAACCCCAGCCCAAGAAATGTTCTTTAAGTCTTTTTCAAAATATCTGAATCATGTAAAGATGTATTTTGCAATGTTTTATTATGTGTCCATTACTAAATTCTCACAACAACCTTGAGAAGCAAGTACTGTTCATTAGCCCCATTTTGCAGATAGGGAATCAGGGGCTTTAGAGGACATTGTGGCTTGCCTGAGATTATTTAGCTGGTAGGATATAAATCCAGATTGAAACCCAGATCTGACTCCAAACTTAATCTCATAACGACACCTCATTTCTTTATACATTCTCCCTTATCCACTGAAGGAAAAATTAGTATTCTAAAACGTGGTGGGCCTTTGATATTCTATAATAATGAGGACAAGATTACTAATGTTTTTGTTGATGGGTGGTAGTATAAGAGGCAGTAGAATAGATGGGGGATCATGGCAAGTAATTTGTGAATTTGAAAGTTTTAGGTTTTAGTATTTGTGGTTTTCCTATTTTTACCTAGGATGCCTCACCAAGAGTCCCTGGAGGCTCGCCTAGAACACCAAACAGATCTGTGTCATCCAATGTTGCCAGTGTGTCACCCATCCCTGCTGGGTCAAAAAAAATTGATCCAAACATGAAAGGTATATCTCTTTCTTAGAGAAAATAACACAATACATTGTACAGTGGGGAAAAAAATGTACTTAGCATCTCACCTACATATAACTTATTTTCATTCTTGTGCAATACCCTCTAATCTCTGTCTCTGTAGACGTAATCTCATAGTTAATCAGATTCTAAACCATTACAGTATATTTACAGTATATTTTTAGTGTATCACTTTGCACATGGTGAAACTTTTATTATGTTTAATCATTTTCCTATGGTAGGTCATTGGAGAAATTCATTTTTATACTATAATTGGTAATCTGCAATTACCATAAGGAAAAAATATGCAAAATAGTTGTTCGTGTAGGACTAATTGTGATAGATGGGATTAGTAGGTTGTACCTTTTGATGTCTTTCAAATGGAGTATTTAATGTTATATCAATATTCAGTGTTCCAGTTTTACCACAACCTAATTGTTATATTTTAAATACTAACAACCATTATCTAGTGGTATTTCTATTCTGTGAAATCACTTATTACTACCCTTTGCCCATTTATCTCTTAGAACTTCTAGTTTTCATATAGGATTGAGGAACTTTTTGTAATACTAAGACAGACATTTCTCAATGTTACTTGAAATGCTTTTGACCTTTTAATAACATTCTAATTTTTAAGTTACCTTACACTTGCAGTTTACTCATTTGTTTTATGTATGAGTGTATTAGAGAGTATGAGTAGTTATTCAGCTAAAACTCAAACTAATATATCCTGAATATAGCTCTTAAACTTTAAGTCTCATTTGTTTCCTATGTGTGATTACTCTAATAATTTATGGGAACAATCTAATGTTTTGAGTAGCTTTTTTGAAATTTTTTGGTATGTGTTTGTGTTTTATAGCTGGAGCTACAAGTGAAGGTGTCCTGGCAAATTTCTTCAATAGTTTGTTGAGTAAAAAGACTGGCTCTCCTGGAGGCCCTGCTGGTAGTGGTAGCCCTGGAGGTGGGGCTGGAGGTGGAAGCAGTGTTTTACCACCGTCTGCCAAAAAGTCAGGTACATTACTTAGAGCAAGTCACTTTTCTTTGAAAACAGCTTTATGGAGGTATAATTTACCTACAATGAAATTCACACATTTAAAGTGTACAGATCATTGATTTTTAGTATTTTTACAAAGTTGTGGAAAACATCTCCATAACCTCATTTTAGAACATTTTTTCATTTCCCCCAAAAGAAACTTCAAACCTTCCCTGTCTCTTAGCTTCTTAGTCCTAGGCAGTCACTTATCTGTTTTCTGTGTCAGTGGTTTTCCCTGTCTGGACATTTCACATAAATGGGAATCATACACACATTATGTCTTGTTTAACATAATTTTTGTTGTAGTTATTTGGTACCGGGGATCGAAACCAGGGATGCTTTACCACTGAACTATATTCCCATCCTTTTTCTATTTTTTATTTTGAGACAGAGTCTTGCTAAGTTGCTGAGGGTCTCATTAAGTTGCTGGGGCTGGCCTTGAACTTGTGATCCACCTGCCTCAGCCTCCAGAGTCGCTGGGATTACAGGCATGTGTCATCACGCCTGGCTAACATAATATTTTGAGGTTCATCCAGCATGCATCATTAATTCATTTCTTTTTATTGCTGAATAACATTCCATTGTGTAGATATGCCACACTTTTTTTTTTTTTAATCTATTCATTGGTTGGTAGATCTTTGGATTATTTCCTTTAAAAAAAAAAAAACTACTACAAATAATGCTACTATGAGCATTCATTTTTATGTGATCATAAATTTTTAATTCTCTTGGGTAAATACTTATGAATTCTAGGTTACATGGTAACTCTGTTGTTTTGTTTTGTGGTACTAGGGATTGAACCAGGGGCTCTCTACCCCGAGTTATATCCCCAGCCCTTTTATTTTGAGACAGTCTTGCTAAGTTGCTAAGGCTGGTCTCAAACTTGGAATCCTTCTGCCTCAGCCTCCCAAGTTGCTGGAATTACAGGCAAGTGCCAGTGGGTGCAGCAACTCTATTTAAAATTTTTAAGGCCTGCCATGAAGTTTTTCAAAATGCTGCATCATTTTACACTCCCATCAAAAGGTTATGAGGATTCCAGTTTCTCATACCCTCTTCAGCATTTGTTATTGTTCATTTATAGTTACAATTCATTCATCTTGCTTCCAGATTCCAAAATTTTGTTGCTGTTTTATTATTGTTTTAAGTTTGTACTTTCTGACTGCATAACTTTTTTTTTAAGTTTTTGCTGTTATTCTTTTTGACCTAATATTTTTATGAGATTAAATCATAGGTGCCAGTTTTACCTCCATTTAGTAGCAGATCTCACAATTTAAAATGAGATAATTTGTTTTTAAATTAAGGATGTTTAACTTCAGCATGTTTGATAAAATTAGTGAAGGAGTTGGCAATTTTAAGTGAAGAGACATTGGTGTAGATACTTTAACTGTATCTAAATCTTATTTCTTTCCTTTTCCTTCAATGTAGGCCAGAAGCCTGTCCTGTCAGATGTTCATGCAGAACTAGACAGAATTACCCGGAAACCAGTTTCAGTTTCTCCTCCAACACCTACATCTCCTACGGAAGGAGAAGCTTCTTGAAGATACCAAATAAAGCCATTTATTCAGTTTTCTGGGATAACGTAAACTTGCCTCTGCCTTTTCCTTCAAAGGTGGAATTAGGGAGCTGGAGTGCTTTTACAGATGGACTAAATTTATGTCTTTTTTTTTTCTTTGTGGCTGCCCGTTTTTATAAAAGGAGCTGTACAGAAGAAAAAAATATTCTACATTATGTAGAATTGCTGTTTGCATTGCCATTTTGCATAGGGAAGTAATTTTGGATTTTGAAAATCTCAAAATTTATAAATCTGAAATACAACCATGTGATCTTATTTTAAAGGCTAAATTATTATATAGGAGGGTTTAGAGAAGGGCAGACAATATGCAATTTGGACATTTAACTGACTTGGAAGTCCAAACTTGTTTTAGTTAAGACTATTTAAAATCATTTTTAAAAATTTGTGTGTTTTGCTGAAAAAGAAAATTGTCAGATTTTGCACATCACATAAATGTACCAACACCTGGGATATGCTGAGAAAACAGATAGCATTTGATACACTAGTCATCACTCAAATCAGTGATCCTATAAGTTGTCATCAAAATATGATTTAGATATTGGCCAAGATATATTCTGAAACTGAGAAGGAAAGAAAGCACACTGCCTAAATGTGTAAAAGAAAAATGCAGAGGTTATGAAAATGTAAAGAGGTAACAGTCTTTGGATTTGTCTATACATATATATATATATATGGCTCTGCCTTAATATACTCCTTTTTTGTTTGTGACTTTCAACTGTAATCAGTTAATAAAGTATTTATTCTCTGCATTTGGGTTCAAATAACTTGTATTTTCTTATATAATTTGTCAGCTAATAAGATTCATTAGTAATTTGAAATGTTTGGCTTATAGAATTACTGAGTATTCTGATCTTTCTGAGAGACAAATTAATATGAGATTCATTCACCTTTAAGTTTCCTTAATTTGGGATTTTACCTTGATCAACACATCTTGTCCCACAGATAGATTTTGAACTACAGAATCTTATGCCAGCGTTCCCAGGGACTGAAAATACAACCATTGTCATTATTTAGGGGGAAGAAAAATTTGGCAAATGTGCTGGGCATGGTGTTGCAAGCCTGTAATCTCAGTGGCACAGGAGGCTGGGGCAAGAGGATTGCTTGTTCAGAGCCAGCCTCAGCAACTTAACAAGGCCCTAAGCAACTCAAAGAGATCCTGTCTCTAAATAAAATTTTTTAAAAAGGCTGGGGATGTGGCTCAGTAGTTAAGCGCCTCTGGATTCAATCTCTGGTACAAAAAAAACATTTTTGTTTAAATATTTTATTCATTTATTTATATGTGGTGCTCACACATGCTAGGCAAGTGCTCTACCACTGAGCCACAACTATAGCCCCTGTGATTCATTCTTTTCGGTGCATGCAGTGGTAAAAATTGTCATTGCAGCATAATATTCCATTGTCCAAATATGTCTATTATGCTATATCAATGAGTATGCACTATTTTCCTATTGCTACTACAAAAAGTTACCCCAAATTTAGTGGCTTAAAATAATACAAGCTAATCTTTTTTCTTTTTTTTTTTTAAAGAAAGAGAGAGAATTTCAATATTTATTTTTTTAGTTTTCGACGGACACACATCTTTGTTTGTATGTGGTGCTGAGGATCAAACCCAGGCTGCACGCACCCCAGGTGAGCGCGCTACCGCTTGAGCCACATCCCCAGCCCTAATACAAGCTAATCTTACTAAAGGATGTCAGCAGTCCAAAATGAGTCTCACTAAGTTAAGATGTCAGCAGGGTTCATTTCTTTTAGAGGCTCCAAAGAAGCATCTGTTTCCTTTCTTCCCAGCTTCCAGAGGCAGCCTGTATTCCATAGTTCTCGGCCCCTTCTCCATCTTCAAAGCCAGCAATAATTTTTGGAGGGTGCAGGGGGTACTGGAGATTGAACCCAGGAGCACTGAGCTACTTCCCCAGTCCTTTTTGAGACAGGGTCTTGTTAAATTGCTGAGGCTGGCCTCAAACTTGTGATCCTCCTGCTTTAGTCTCCCAAATTGCTAGGATTACAGGTATGCACCACCACTCCTGGATCAGCAATAGTGTCTTCACCTGTCAGCAGCCACCACATTTCTTTCAACTCTAACCCTTCTGTCTCCCTCTTATAAGGGCCCATATATAACGTACATGTGTAATGTGCTTTTAACAGGGTTTTTTTGTTTTTGGTTTGGGTACTGTGGATTGAACCCAGGGGCACCTTATCATTGAGCATCATCCCCTGCGCTTTTTATTTTGGTACAGACCCACTCCAAGTTGCTTAGGGCCTCTCGAAATTGTTGAAGCTGGTATTGAACTGGGGATTTTCCTGCCTCAGCCTCCTGAGTGGTTGGGCTTACAGATGTGTGCCATTGTGCCTGGCCAACGCTGTACACTTCACAGTTGCTTGTGTGGTTTCTGAAGAGAAGTCAGATAAAATTCTTTGTTCCTCTAACTGCTTTGAGGATTTTTCTTAATTTTTTTATTTTCTGCAGTTTGCATGTGATATATGACTGTGTGTAGTTGGGGGGCATTAATTTTGCTTTATGTTTTCTGAATATCCCAGATCTCTTCGTTTGGTGTCCAGTGATTTGGGGAAATTCTCAGTCACTGCTTCAGATATTCTGTTTCTTTCTCTTTCTTCTGATAGACCCATTACCCATATCTTTTGTAGTTGTCCCACAGTTTGAATATTTTTTTTTTGCTTTCAGTTTTGGAAGTGTCTATTGTTAAATGCCCCAGCTCAGAAATGTCCTCAGCCTCAGTCTGATCTACTAATGAGCCCACCAAAGGCATTCTTTGTTCTTTCCTTATCTCTAGCATTTATGTTAAAGTTTTTTAGAATTTCCACCTCTGCTTGCATTATCCATCTATTCTTGTATGTTTACTTTTTCCATTTTTGTCAGCATACTAGTCATAGTTGTTTTAAATACTTGTTCTGAGAATTCCAACATCCTTTGCATATCTGAGTCTGGGTCTGATGTTTGCTCTGTTTCTTCAAACTTTGTTTTTGTTTTTGTTTTGTTTACCCCTTTAGTATGCCTTGCAGCTTTTAAATTAATAACTGAAGATGATGTATGGTGAAAGGAACTCTGGTAAATAAGCCTTTGGTGATATGGTGGTAAGATGTGGGGGCAAAGGAACTCATGCTACAGTCCTATGATTAGATCTCAGTTTTAGTAACTTCTGTTACCCGACCCCTTTAGAATGGCTGGAGGGGTTGGTTACCAGGTTGGTTAGGCTCTGGTAAAATAGTTTTTCCTGCAGGCAGTCCTTGTTAAGAGGAATAGAATGTTCTGGCGTATTTCACAATGGGTACTTTTCCCCTTCCTATCAGAGTGGTGGGGATTTTCCCTGTTCCTTATGTGAACCTGCTAGAGCTCCTGGAGTAGAACCCACAGGGTTCTGGGGATCCTCTTAGGACTGGGATTGGTCACACAGAGCCTCTAGCAATTCATCAGTTATGTTCAAATGTCTTATTCCTGTGCTGGTTCCCATCAAGGCCTCTGCCTTGGAGTGTCTTTGGTAAATTGTGATTGTGTACCTGTCTCTGATTGGGAGGACTGTACTTGTGATTTCTTTGACAGACCTAAGAAGAGTTGTTTGTGTCCTTCCTGTTTGTTGAGCTCCATACTTGTTAAGGTGGACCGATTATCTCTACCTCTCAAAATCCTTCATCACATTTGCAAAGTCCCTTGGTTTTAAGTCAGGTAACAGACAAAGGTTTTAGGATGTGGATAGCTTTGGGGATCTGTTTCTCAGCCTACCGCAGGATGTTTGGGTAATTTTCAGTTTTTAAGTTGCTATTAAGAGTAGTGCGAGCTGGTTGTGGCTCAGTGGTAGAGTGCTTGCTCAGTGGTATAAGGCACTTGGTTCGATCCTCAGCACCACATAAAAATAAAGACATTTCATCCATTTACAACTAAAAATATTTTTTAAAAAGAATAAGAAAAAAGAGTAGTGCTATTGTGAATGCTCTTAAATATATCTTGTGAAAAATGTGTTTTCATTTCTTTTGGGTGCACAGGTTGAGCATCCTTAATCTGAAAATCTAAAATCTGAAGTGCTGCCAAATCTGATTTTTTTTGCATACTAATAAGACACTACAAGTGGAAAGTTCCACACCCTGAAACTTTATTTTATGAACAAATATATTCAAATGCTGTATAAGATTACCTTCAGGCCAGTGTAGTGGTGCACATCTAGAATTCCAGCAACTTGGGAGGCTGAGGCAGGAGAATCACAAGTTCAAAGCTAACCTCAGCTACTTAAGCAACTTAGCAAAACCCTGTCTTAGGGGCTGGGGTTGTGGCTCAGTGGTAGAGTCGCTTACCATGCATGAAGCACTGGATTCGATTCTTAGCACCACATAAATGTAAAATAAAAATATTGTGTCCACCTAAAACTAAAAAAAAATTTTTTTAAAAAAATCCTTGTCTTGTAGCTCAGTGGTACAGTGCTCGCCTAACATGGGTTGAGGCACTGGGTTAAGACTTCAGCATTACATAAAAAAAATAAATAAAGGTATTATATCTATCTGCAACTCAAAATTTAAAAAAACAAACCATGTTTGTATAAGTATGACAAAATAGACTATTGTCGTGTACAACTAAAAAGAACAACAACAACAACAAAAAAAACGGGGCTGGGGTTGTGGCTTAGAGGTAGAGTGCTCGCCTACCGTGCGTGGAACACCAGGTTCGATCCTCAGCACCACATAAAAATAAAGATATTGTGTCCACCTATAACTAAAAAATATTTAAAAAAGAAAAAACGGGCTGGGAATATAGCTTAGTTGGTAGAGTGCTTGCATGCACAAGGCTGTGAGTTCAATCCCCAGCACCAATAAATAAATAAATAAATAGATAAATAGAAAAATAAATAAAAAATAAAAAGTGTTGGCCAAAAAAAAATTCAGGTTTTGTGTATAATGTATATATGAGAAACATAAATGAATTTTATGTTTAAACTTGGTCCTACCCCAAAGATATTTCATTACTGTATTTGTAAACATTTTTAAAATATCTGAAATCTCAAATGCTTCTGGTCCCAAGAATTTTGGATAAAAGATACTCAACCAGTATATGGTAGAGTGGATTGTTGGGTCAACAGGGTATATGTGTATTCAGCTTTAGCAGATAAAGCTAAAAGGTTTTTCCAGAGTGGTTATGAGAATTCACATTCTTGAGAAAACATTTCCAAGTAACATATCTGATAAGGCCTACTATACAGAATACTTTTAAAAACTCTTAAGAGTATAACAATAAGACAAATAACCCAAATTAGAAATGGGCAAAGGGGGCTGGGGATGTGGCTCAAGTGGTAGCGCGCTCGCCTGGCATGCGTGCGGCCCGGGTTCGATCCTCAGCACCACATACAAACAAAGATGTTGTGTCCGCCAGATACTAAAAAGTAAATATTAAAAAATTCTCTCTCTCTCTACCTCTATCTCTCTCACTGTCTCTTTAAAAAAAAAAAGAAAGAAAGAAATGGGCAAAGGCGGGCTGGGGTGGCATGGGTGAGGCACTGGTTCGATTCTCACCACCACATACAAATAAATGAATAAAATAAAGGTTCATCAACAACTGAAAAATTTTTTTAAGTGGGCAAAGGATTTGAAGAAATATTTTTTTTCAAAGAAATTATGTAAGTGGTAAACAATAACATGAAGTCTGACAGTTTTAGTCATTGGGTTTATGTAAATAAAACCCACGAAGAGTTACCAATTAATAGCCACTAGTATTGCTAAAATTACAAATGGGAAGTTTGGTGAGGATATG